ATGATGAACGGATGCCACAAAAATTCTAGCTGCTAGTTTTTCTGAAGTACTTCCTCTTAGAGATTTAATAATCTGCGTTTAGGCTGCCTTCCGGGCTAGTTTAGATTGTTTTAATTCGGTGACGATATCTATTGTATGAACGAACTTTTAGAAGCGACAGAGTAGTCGCTTTTCTCCTTTGCCTCACGAAATGCCCCGCCGGATGCACGGCAGATGTTAAGTCCTTGCGAGTCCAAGCCGGTTGGACTTCTACACGCACACAAAGAGAAGTTGCGTGGCTAGCAATCTTGCGAGAGCTAGACTGATAGCTCTCAACTATTAGATACGGATCGTTATCCCACCCGAACGACGGTAGACTTGATAGCCAAGAGGAGCGTACTTGCATATATTGTATCAATTCGTCTTCTTGGGCCCTCCACTGACCTCCCTGGCAGCATTTACAGCCGCAAACGGCACGCAGACGATTACTGGGGTACATTTGCGGATTGGACTTGACGACAGTTTTTTTGAGTTTGCTGATTGGCGGGTTGACGAAAATCAACGGTTCCAATAACACGAACGTCCAGTGCTGCGCATAGTGCTATGGCGAGAGAGAGAGAGAGAGAGAGAGAGAGAGAATGCGTTTCCCCGAGTGGCGCTGGCGTGATAAATGTCCCGTACAAGATGAAGGATACGAAGATGCAACTTGTGAAAAATTAAGCACCATCTGCCTACCCGATCCATTCGGGATCAGTTCTGTTCGGAATGGTAATTTAGGGAGCGTTGGCCCAGTACTCATCATCAAGGCAAGATTACCTTGAAGACATGTTGATCGACACCAACGGACTTACTTAGCTCAGTGCAAAGAGAAAACTCATAATTCTGTCGATTTTTTTTTACTGTACCATGAATAAATTGTTTTGTCACGTGTTTCGTTCTATAACTAATGGAACTGGCTCGAGGCATCGAGTAGAATTGCACCTAACAGATAAAAAATGTACGAGTTCTGTAATTTACGCGAATAAAATACATTTTGAAATTCTGTATTTCAGAAACGTGACACTCGATCTCCCCCCTTTCGCTCGTCCTTGTTTGCTCTGAGCCGGCCATTTCGGAAAAGCACAAAATGGCGAAAACACTTGCGACTTCAGCAAGGGGATTACGGCTTGGTAAGAACAAATGAACAGGGGGTCAGTGTGGGTTCTGTATGCATTATCGCAGATCGTTTTGCTCAATATTAGGTTGCACACGGTCAAGATCGTGAGCGACAGTGAGCCAGAGCTACAGGCCCAACCGGGCAGTACGTGGGTGTGCCCGCCCATTGACGAGAATTGCCAGTTAGACAAAACAGGTCGAGAACACTGCAGTCACACCTGACGCTGCGGCCGCAGCTGGGTCTAAGCCTGCTGCGGGAGGTGTTGGCGAAGAAGCCATGTCGGCTTCAGGTTTGTCGGGGCATCTGATATCCGAAGCTTTCAAGAATTTCTAGATCAAGCAGGTGAATATGCATGGCTGCAAGCGCAAAAGCCGAGGAAAGGGGATTTGAAAGTCTTCCTTCGACAAGTCAACGGGATGTCAGGTAAGTGCCAAGGCGAAGGTGACGTCGAATGATGCTGCGAGCACGTACATGATGCGTGTGAATGGCTTCGTTGGCCTA